TGAGTCATCGGTATTCTTGTCCAGAAGGCGTGGGGCACAGGACACCCAGAGCTATACACCACAGCCAAGAGGCCCGGCTTTCAAAAAGATCAAACTTCCTTAGTTCAACTGGCCCAACCTATAGATAGCCACAGTTCCAAATCCCTTAAACTGGTACCTCAGCCATGGGCCTACCCAATTCAACTTCTAGTGTTATCTGGAAATTTCTAGAAGGTTCTAGTCTTCTAGTTTCTAGTGTTACCACACGCTAAGCTCAATGTGATGGCTTGCATCTAGACTCCTCCCAAAGCCTCTGGAAGGCTTTTCAGAGGTGACTAGATCTAGGGAGTGTGATGCTGGGATTAAGCATGTGATACAGGATTAAGAGTGTGAGGCTATTAAATTAAGCCCACTGATTGGTTTGGAATAGTCCTGGGTGTGGATAACGGGAAGGCCCACCTTGGGCGTGAGCACTGCCTGGCCTATGGGTGGTAACCTGGATAAAATATGAGGGGTCAAAGGAGGGCTTGCCGCTCGCTGATTCTGCTGCCTTCTGCCCACCATGAAGTCTGTCCTCTGTGATGCCCTCTACTATACCACTTTCCCTTGAGGTTAACTGATTATGGACCAGAACCTCTGCAAATCAGGGACCAAACTAAACCTTTTCTCTTTTAACGCTGGGTGTCAGGAATTTTGTCTTAGTAACCAGAAGAAGTAATTAAGACACTCAGCACACTGATCTGCCTGACACTCTCTGCTGAGTCTCACCTGGGGGCCTTTGACCTTCCCTGGAAGTTCTTGTTTCGTGGGTGTACTCATCCAGCCATCCCACCCCACCCCGTCCATCCTTCAGGCCTCAGTGGCCTCTCCAGGGAGCCTCCTTGGCTGGGAGATGCCAGCAGCCCTTCCTAGTTACCCACAGCCTGCCTCTTAGCTGCTGTACTTCCTTCTTAGTATCTTTGTCCCCAAAGATAGGACCTGACCTCCTCGCTGTGCACACCATTAGGATCTCTATTATTATTATTATTATTATTATTATTATTATTGCTATGCAGTTCAGGCTAACTTTGAACTCACTATGTAGCCTAAGCTGGCCTCAAAATGACAACAATCCTCCTGCCTCAGCCTCCTGAGTGCTGGAATCGCAGGCATGCGCCACCATGTCCAACAGGCTCTTTCCTCTTATGCAAATTTTCCAGGTAACTTTTAAGCTCTCACACTACTCTTAAGATGCTAGTTTTGGTGAAGTGCTTATTAAAATGTGCAAAACATTCTCCACATACATTCTACACCGACAACAAAGCAAATTTTGTTGGTTGGTTTGGGGTATTAGGTTCACAGCTCATGTCATCACTCTGTAACTCAGGGACGCCCCGGGGTGGTATGGGGCACAGGCTCTGGCTCCAGACCTCTGCGCTGTGGTTTTGTTTACTTTCATCTTCCAACTCCTCTGGCTGTTGGTGATCACTTCTGGCCACCCATCTCCCGCCACCTCTATCAGTAACTCAAATCTGCTCTAAACAAAAGAACTAGAGCCTATTAGAACTCTGTGAAAATCAGAAGTTAACCAGGCCTAAAGGGAAACCATGAAGCTCTCCTGTAAACAGGACCTGTGGGTGTTGGCTTACCCCATCTCGGGGAGGCTTACCCCACCTGAGGCTTATGGAGGATTTTCCCTTCCTTCAGGTTCCAAAGTCACTGCTGCCTGCATTGACAGTAGTGAGAGCTGGGGCTACCTGAAGCGGTCCTGGCCAAGGATGCTAAATACGCAACAGAAAGCAGCTCGCTCAGGCCGCTCCACCGTCAGGCAAGTGGGTGCTCAGCAAAGCCGAAGCTGTGGAGGAGGCTTATAAAGCTGGGAGAAAGTTTGTGTTTCTAGTCACTTTCCCTTTCTCCTTCACTTAGGAAACAGGGCCCTCACAGGAGGCTTTTGGGAGTGGAACAGCACACAGGGCAGCACAGCTAAACACTTGGACAGTTACCAGCCTCGCCCTGAAGGCAGAGTTTTCCAAAGTAAAATGGAGCCCAGGGGTCCTTCCCTGGGACTCTGTAATCAGTTTACACTCCACATGCAGGCTGCCCCTGCATCCATGGATGCAGCCAGATGTGGACTGAAAATGTCCCAAGAGGGGGTTGGGGAATTAGCTCGGCAGTCTAGGCGCCTGCCTGACAAGTGCAAGGACCCAAGTTCAATCCCTGGTACTGCATACAGTGCCAGCCCTGGAACCCCAGGTGCGCCTGGCTGACCACAGAAACTGGGTGTGGTGGTGCACGCCAGTAATCCCAGTGCTGGTGAGGCCGAGACAGGAGGATCACTACAGGTCCAAGCTGCATAGTGAGACCCTGCACCAAACACATAACGATTTTTTTTAAATTAAAAAAAAGAAAATATACTGAGAAATAAAAATTGCAGATGTATTGAACACATGACTTGTTTTCCTTGTCATTATTCCTTTAAAAATACCACAGTACAATTTATACAGTGTTTACTTTGTAATATATGTGACCTGAAGGCATTTATAATGCATATGGGAGGATGCATACATTATATGTAAATACGATGCCTTTGGTATAAGGGATTTTGGTATCCTTGGATATCTTGGAGCCAGTCCCCAAGGACACAAAGGACACAGTGATGGTCTCAAAGTCAATCCTGCCTTCCAGCAATGTGGGGGCCCACGGGTCACAGGTGACACTGGGTTTCCTGTGCTACACGATGCTAGCATGATCATCACTGATCATTACATGTACAGCTCAGTCCGCATCTGCTGTACATGTGTGCACTGCACATCTGTGGCAAATCTAGTGCCCGTATGTTACTCAGTGGACATCTTGAGGTACGGAAACACGAGGGCTTTTCCTCTCAATATGTTTTAGCCTTCACATTTCTTTGTTGGGCACGTAAGACCTTTGCATTCAGATAGACAAAAGTTATCTTTAAAAATATTTTCAGCCAGGCATGTGGCAAATACCTGTAATCCCACCTATTCAGAATCTGTAGCAGGAGGGTCACAAATTCAAGCTAGCCTGGGTTATTCACCAAGAGACTCTGTCTCAAAAAAATAAAATCTTCTTGAGGCAGGGTTTCAGTATGTAGTTCAAGCTTGCTTCAAACTCATAGAGATCCTGCTGCCTTAGCTTCCTGACTATTGGGATTACAGGCATGCACCACTCACCTGGCCTCAGAAAACTTTTTAAAGGAGCATCTGGGGGTATATGTCAGTGGTGGAGCAGTACTGTAACCTCTAGTACTATAATTCAACCTCTAGTACTATGATAAACCAACCTCTAGGACTGTAATAAACCAAAACAAATATAAATTGTCACTCAAAAACAATGTTACTGTAAATATGGGGCAGGTGTGAGAGGAGGCTCTAAACTCTAGCTATGCTGGAGAGTCCTCTACGGAGCCTTTAAGAAACTGAAGAGGCTAAAGCAGGAGAATTATGAGTTCGAACGCAGACCGGGCAATTCAGTGATTCAGCAAGAGCCTGTGTCAGAATACAAAGTCTGGGGCTGCAGCTCAGTTTAAAGGCTCTGGCTCAATTCCCAGCCCAGAGACAGAAGGAGAGACAGTGACAGAGGACTCTAGTGGGGCGATTCTGCCCAGCGGAGGCAGTCATGATAGCTGCCTTTTCACTGCCCATCCCCTGCCCTCCACAATCCACATCCACAGTATCCTCCCTGGCTCAAAACCACCACCTCCAGGAGTCTGCCATTCGAGCTGGAGCTCCTCCCATTCCCACATTTGCTTCACTATCTGTGATGTGTGTACTTGCCAATGTGTCAATTGGAAAACATTCACCATTACTTCATATATTTATGTTTCCTATCTGTGTATGGTTTTCTATCTGATGATGAGCAAAGATGTGGTCTCTTAGATGCTAGAATGTTCTCCAGGCTGTGAATACAGCAGATGATCAAAAAAGGCAGCCGACACACAGAACCCATGGTTCTCAGCTAGAGCCTCAGGCTTGCGGTCTCAGCATCTGCTGGGAATCTGTTAGAGACGCAGTCCCAGGCCACAGGGAACCACAGTACCAAATGGTTGGTTAGCCCTGGGAGTGTGGCCAGCACCCTCCAGGTAATTCCTGCTGCCTCAAGATTAGCTGAATTTAGCCGAAAGCTTGTCTCCTGTCTTGCCACGTAAGGCCTTTGCTTCCTCAATAAGGACAGGACCAGCAGAAGTATGAAATGCAGGCCGGGGAGATGGCTCAGTGGAATCAGCGCTTCCCTGGCAAGCACAAGGGCCTGAGTTCAATCCCCAGTTCCACCAAAAAAAAAAAAAAAAAAAGAAAAGAAAAAAAAAGAGAGAGAGAGAAGTCTGAAATGCATATGAGTGCACTTTTCTTTTAAAATGTGGATACGATGCATCCTAAAAGGAAAGCATAATATGAATACTATACAAATTGAAGTCTAAAAACACTTACCCTCCCTTTGGCAGCTAGGCTGGTATTCTTCACCAGAAAACTAATGTTCGTCCCTTACAGGTCCATGTTTTAAACCTATTTTTTTTTTCCTCTTTTAAGCGGAATATGCTGCCACATGACAACTGTGTCATTATGACTCAAGGAGCTTGCTATAAACTAGCTTAGCTCCCACCAGCTGGAGGGGAGGTGTTTGGGTATTTGCACAATAACGGCTCCACTCTTAGGTCACTTGAAGTCCTTGTGCTCACTTCCAGACTTTTCACTGCCTACCTTCAGCAACTGTCACACGTTGCTTCTCCAGTGTGGGTTCCTCAAAGAGCCCCGGCTTCCCTTCCCATCTGAGTCAAGGGGCAGAGAAAACAGCAGGTTGACACGGCGTGTAGACCAAGAGGAAACAGGCCAGAGGGAGCAACCAACGCACGGCTCACATATTGAGCCTTGGGGTCCAGGCCCCGCTCTGCCACCAACCAGGGCCTGCCCAACTGGGGAGCTGGTTTCCAGATGCTGAAGGCTGGTGTTTCATTGAGTATTTCCAGGCCTTGAATGAATGTAGGTTTTCAAATCAAGGTGTAGGCAGGGAAAAGAAGTTACCTGGTCCTGGAGTTTCTGGAACATCAGAGGATGAGGCTCTTCCAGGATCTTCTCGTTGAGCCTTGACTGCCCTTCCACGTTGACTTGGGATGAGGCCTTATTGGACAGAAAGGTCATGTAGATCTCCTTGGCCTTTTCCTGCATCTGGAAGAGACACAGGTGCCTGCCCGTCACCAGCCAGCACAGCCCTTCCAGCCTGAGCCTAGCTCTGCCTGCCTGGCCCAGCAGGAGCCACAGCCTCAGAGGTGCCAAGTGCTGCTCCTGAGCTCAGCTCCCAGGCATGGCTCCGGCTGTAGCCCCAGCCCTGGCCTTCACCCCTCCCGTGTGTGCGGCCACATGTCCTGTAACAAGACTGCTACACCAGCCGTGCAGAAATGATGAGGAAGAAAGGAGCCTGGCCCACAGTGAGTACTCGGCCCCACCAATGACCATCCTGTGATTATCCAAGCTGAGGGCTCAGGAGAATGTTACTTGTCGTAACAGGGAATGAAATACTGATACATGCTGCAAACAAAATGCATCTTGGAAACATGCTACTAAGTGAAAGAGACCAGACATGAGAGGACAAATACTGTAAGACTGCCCTCAGTGGGAAATCCAGAGCGTACAAATCCACAGAGACAGAAAGAACATGGTCACCAGGGGCTGGAGGAAGAGCCAGCGAGTGCCTCCTTGGCGGGAAGGAGCTGGGCTGCACAGGAAGTAGTCTGTCTTCAGAACACCTCGAGGCAGGAACCTGGTTCGCCAGGACTTCCCCTGACAGTTCTCTTTTCTTGAACAGAAAGGAGACTTCCTGTGTGCCAGCCCCACCTGCAGCAGAGATAGGCTGCTCCCTACATGGCAGGCCTAGGGCGCCATCTTACCCTACACAGCCAGCCAGATAAGAAATCCTTTAAAATGCCTCCCTATAGCTGTGGATGGGAGCGGGGTGGGGTGTGACAGGGCTTAGAAGTTCTGGAAAACTGCCTTTCTCTCTAAAGAGCCCCTTGGGGTTCAGGAGCACCCCAAGGACTTTATGGAAGCCACCAGAAGGCTTTGACAACCGATGCTGGAAAACAGATCTGATGACAAAAGCCACATGAAGCTGAGGTCTGACCACATTCCCCTGGGAAAGCAAGCCTCCTGGGTACCTGCAGGACGCTGCCTAGGTGGGGCCATCACCCAAGCTCCAGCCGGCGTCTGCTCTGTCTTGACTATCAGTGTGAACGATTAATTGATGTCAAACCTGCAGACGCAGGAGCCTCTTAAGATAAATACGGCTGTTCCAGGGACACGTCTGGGGTCCATCAGCAGGGCGCAGAGGAAACAGCACTTTGTAACTGCGTGTCTGTCAAAGACCCAACCCTCCACGGAGCTGTGAGCCGCTCTTCCACAACCCCATTCTGTCAGGAAAGAACATTTCTGGAAAACCACTTCCTGTTTGAAAGCTACTTCATAACAGTAGAATTTCAGCCTGTCAGATTAGCAAATGCCATGCAGAGCCCTGCAGAAGTCACTTACAGCTTTCCCTTGCTTAAAAGATTCACACACACACACACACACACACACACGCACGCACACATACACATACATGCACAAATGCACACACATTCATGTACACACATATGCACACATGGTTACCCAGGTAGATATAAGTTATTGTCAGTGGTTCTGAAAAAACAGCTATGTGGTGAGTACCCTGAGGTAAAGAGGAGAGGGCAGGCAGCCCAGGGAAGAGGAGGCAGGGCAGGGACTATGGGTATACAGACCCCAGGACTCCATCCCACCTCTCTCCCACCAGCTGCACCCCACACCTCCAGCCTCTGTTGGAGAACTGGGGCTCCTGGGCAGGCTCTGGGCACGCCGCTCAGTCGCCAACTGAGCAAGGGCGGGGGGAAGAGCTGAGCAGAAGGGCTTATCTGGGCTGAGATAGGAAGCACCACCGAAAAGGGAAACACCAGGCCGCCGACCACAAGCCAGTCACGGGAAGGCCTGGTGTCCAGGCCGAGAACACTGAACAAAAAGAAGAACCAGTCACTTGAGCTATTTTGGTAGGTTTTTCCAGAGCTTTATTAACTCTCTTCTGGCTGCTATCGGGCTAGGAACAGAACAGCCGTCTATAGTGGTAGTGTAGGTCTGTGACCTGCACACTCCAGTTTCTCTTCTAGGGCCCCAATGCAGCAGGCACCACCTAGAGCAGAAGCCCCTCGAGAAGACTGAGGTGCCAGCCTCCAGCTCGCTCAGAAGGAGCTGGCAAGGTCCCCAAGCGGGCTTATCAGCTCAGGACCTCGTATGGGTATGTCTGCACCCAGGTGAGACACCCCACGGCCAGGGCTTTCCCTCCAGGCCTTGGCAGCTGTGAGCAGGAAGGGCTCCCCCACCCGCTCCCCAACCGAGCATGTTCAGGAGAAGTAAACGTAGCTCTTCTCCTTTGCTCGGTCCATGGAAGGGCCCTACCTGCTCACCCAGCCCCTCCCTCCTTTCCTGGCTCCTGTTCCGAATTCCGGGCTTCCTACAGTGCTGCCTTTGACTGACCACTGTTAAGTCTGTACTCTGCCAAGACTTCAGCCCAACACAACCTGCCCTAGTGGCCCACGAGCGGCTCATCTGCAGCAAAGTGGGCACGGATGTCCCACAGACCCCTCAAACTGTTCACACAGGGAGAGAGAGGTCCCCTCCTGCACAGCGGTCCTGCTGCCTCTCCTGAAGGAAACGGGAATCCACAGCCCCCTTTGATGGCTGCTTAGCCGTGTTCTCTCAGCCACCATAGGCTCGGCTTCCTTGACTCCTAACACATCTCTGGCCAGACCAGCTAGCTCCCCTTTGCCCTGCCACTCCACCGCAGGTGGCCACGCGAGAGAACACCCAGAGCACAAGGATCGAGTTGCTAACTGCGTACCAGTTCAGAAAGAGCACAAGTCAAAGGAAACAGCGAAGAGGTGGTACAAGAATGTTTCTGAGAACTGGCTCAGGAAATGAAAGGCAGTTGAAGGAAGAGGGATGAACAGAGGGCAAGAACAAACCCAGACACCTGAAGGGCTAGGGAGGGGGGCAGCACGAGACACGTCCAAGACCGGGCATCAGCGCAGAACATGAGCTTGCCTGGGTGCGAGGCACCGAAGGGCGAGAGAAGGGAGCTGCTAGTGCTCGGCTCACCCCTCACCCTGAGCAGCCAGTGGCCAGCGGCTTGCTCCCTTTCCTGGCAGGATGGAGTTTTCTTAAGAAACGACTGGCCAGTGTGGTGGCGCATGTCCATTAATCGCAGCAGCGGGAAGCAGTGAGGCAGGAGGATGGCAAGTGTGAGGCCAGTCCAGGCAACTGAGTGAGCTCCATCTCAAAATAAAACATAAAAAGGCCTGGGGAGCTAGATCAGTGGGAGGGCCCTAAATTCAATCCCCAGCACCACGAAATCAAAATTATAAAAAGAGAGGGAGAGGAGGGAAAGAAGGATGGAGAGATGGAGGAAGAAGAGAAAGGACGGGTGGAAGGAAGGGAGGGAGAGAAGGAAGAGCAGGGCATGAATGAGCTACAACCTGAATGCAAAGGATTAAACCAAGTTCCAAATTCAGACCCCAGCAAACTTCCCTGGCACAGGTGAGTAGTTTATTAAGATAACTTGTTTGTGGCCCACTAAGAAGAGACTGGAGGACCTCTGTCTGGAGAAAACTAAAGATAAAAGCAGAGGAAGTTCAACAGATAGACTTAAGGGTAAAGTTAAAATCTCCAAGAGAAAAGTAGAACCGAAAGCCAAAGAGATGAAAGATAGGAGAGATAAAATAAAATTAAGGGCTCAATCTAGAGTTAGGGTGCGGTCCCTGGAAGAGACTCGAGCCAGGCACTATGGTCTATATCTGTAATTCCAGCTACTAAAGAGGCTGAGGCAGGAGGACCACCTGAGTGCAGGAATTTGAGGTCAGTATGGGCAAAGTAGTAAGATGCCCATCTCAGAAAAAAGAAAAAAGGAGGCAGACTAGGAAGAGAAGAGCAGACCAGAGAGAATAGAAGGAAAGAAGTTTTAAAAACTGAAATAATAGCAATAACTTAAGAACATTTCCTAGCTCTATAAATTTCCAGTTCACATGGTTGCAAAAGCTACTCACACAATGAATGGACTCACCCCCTCCAAAGTCCTCCCTGTAACCCCAGCAATCCAGGAGGCTGAGGCAGGAAAGCAGGAGAACAGCAAGCTCAAGCCCACTCCAGTCAATTTAGCAAATCAGCCGGATTCAGTCTTTAAGTAAAAAATAAAAATTAAAAATGTTTAAAGAGCTTGGGACATAGCTCAGTACAAGGGCCTTGAGTTCAATTCACAGGACTTCCAAGAAGAAAAGAAAAGCAATAGGACAGGGGCCAGGGAGATGGCTCAGAAGAATAAGCACTTGCCTGGCAAGTGCAAGGGCCTGAGTTCAATCCCCGGTTCTGCAAAAAAAGAAAAAGAAAGAAAGAAAAGCAATAGGCCATTAAAGACCAGGAAGTAAATGGAGGTAGGCAGGATGGCCTGGGGCTTAAACCTTGTTTCTGCATATGCTTCCTTGACCCTCCCCTCCACTGGATTCAAGTTTCTCATCACATGGGTAGGCCAAGAATATTAATGTCTTTGCTTATAGGTTTGTTGGGGATTAAACACAATAATCCATGTAAGTGCCTTCATCAAAACAGACAACAGTGAGAACCAGCCACTCTTGTTCATGTGGCTGCTGCTTAGACAGTTTCTTTAAATTTTTCTTTCCTCCCTTGGGAAGGAGACTCCAAGTCACTGGAAGAGGCCAAAATCATTTTTACAAATGTGATATTCTAAAGAACCCTTGAGACAAAAAAAAAAAATATATTGTTCTTGTTAGGCACCATGGCACATGCCTAATCCTAGCACTGAGGGAGGCGGAAGCTAAAGGACCACAAGTTCAGTTCCCCTGGGGAATTTCATGAGACTCTGTCTCAAAAAAAAAAAAAAAAAAAGACAATGAAAAAGGCTGGGAACGTAGCTAAATGGTACAGCACCCCTACGTTCCATCCCCAGTACCCCCAAACAAACAAACAGGGCTGTTTATTTCTTGGTTGTAAAAGAGGGTTTTAAGAAGAAACAAAATTACATACCGCAAAGATGTACTAATAAAAGAAAAAGAGAAAGAGAGAAGGAAGGAGGAGGAGTAGAAGAAAGAATACTGTATTAGTACTCTTTCCCCGGGTGCTGGATTGAATCCAGGGGCCTGAACACGTGGAGCAAGAACACTGCCTGACCTGCCACTTTCCGTCCCCTCTTAATTTCTGCGCAGCTGCGCACGCTGCCACGGCTATTTCAATCCCTGCCTCGGTAACCAAGCCCAGCACACATGCGGTGACTGATGAATGGATGCGAGGCCAGCAAAGAATGAGTACCTAGCGGAAGCTTTTTCTGTGGTCTTATGGACAACATAAATGCTGGTTTGATTTAAAAGCTGCAGATACCTCAGGTGCTAATTCATGGAGAAGAGGTACTCAATTAAAAAAAAAAAAACATAAAGAAACTGCAATAGAGCGTTGGAATCTGTTTGCCAAATCTAGAAGGCACATCAAGCCCAGGGACTGCAAGGCAGAGGGCGGGAGGTCAAACTCCCAGTTTCCTCAGTCTCCAGCATCCCCACTATAGACAGGGTGCCGGGACCCTCCTGGTCTACAGGGATGGTTTTCTTTTCTTTCAGGAGGCAAAGCACAGACTGGAGAAGCCAGCAAGGACCTAGTGCTGTTCTACTGTTGGGTGCTTTGGAGAACAAAGCCCCACAGGATCCAGTGAGCACTCAATGCTCGTGTCCAGGGCTGCTGCAGACTGTGGGGGAGGGGAGGGGAAGAAGGGAAAGGCACCCAGACTCAGTGGGGAAGAAGGCGGACAGAGATGAAGCCCGTGAGAGAGAGAGAGAGAGAGAAAGACAAAGAATGTAGGGTAAGGATGTAAGGCGGTACAGCCATTGTGGAAATCTAAAGTAAAAAACTAAAGTCAGTATGCTGTAGAGACACCCGCAAGCCATGGTCATTGTGCAGTGATTTAGACTAGCCAGGCTAGGGAGCCAGCCTAGGTGCTGGTGAACAAGTGAATGGATAAAGAAAATGTGATGTATTTACACAGTGGAATATCATTCAGTCATACGAAAGAACAAAATTTTGGTTGAATGTGGTGGCACATGCCTGCAATCACAGCACTTGGGAGGCCGAGGCAGAAGGGTCATGATGAGTTCAAGGTCAGCCTGGGCTACACAGTGAGACCCACCCAGTCAAAAAAAAAAAGGAGAGAGAATAAAATTTTGTCATTTGTAGACACAGTGGAGGGCTCTGGAGATCATCATGCTGAGAGAAATAAGCCAGACTCCCAAAGACAAATGCTGCAAATTCTCCTGAATATGTGGAACTCTAATAAGATGACAAAGTCGAAGGAATACTATTAGTTAGACAAGAGAAGGGGAAAAAGGAGTGGGGTGGGAGGGCCGGTAACAGGAGACATGAAAACAACCACCATATATAATATACTTTGAACCCCCCAAGAAAATGTGAAACTAGGGAGGGGCTGGGGGGATGAGAGGTGGGTTCAAAATAAATGAATGAAGTATATTATATACATATAAATCTGCCAAAATAAAATTTATTAATGTATAAAACCAATATTACTAATAAAGAAAAAAGATGAATAAATTGTACAAGATACTAGAAGTTAATGAGAACTGGCTAATTCAAGCAAAGAATGAAATACAAACCTGACACATTCTCTTGAACAAGAGAAGCAAAAGAGAGATTTGCATCAACCCTGCAGTAGCTTCTGAGTGGACACCACAGAAGATAAACCCTTCACTGACACATGGCAGCTGAGGCAAGTTTGATTGTGAGGTCCAGTTAGACCTCTCCAGAGCCTACAGCTTCCTCCACTTCCAAAAATCAGTAATGCAGAGCTGACTACCAGCTTTTACTTCCTGCACTACAGGACCCACAAGAGACTGCCACCGGACTGGGGTCAGAGATGTGGGCCTGCATCCGTTTTTTTTTTTTTTTAATTTATTTTATTTCTGTGTGTGTGGCCAGCTCAGCCCACCAGGGGGCGAGGCTGGCTGGCATGTGGTGCTGGGGGATTGAACCGCGGTCCCTGTGCTTTGCTAAGCTTGTTCTAAGTAGGTGCTTTAGACCACTGAGCCATCTCACCAGCCCCCTGCATCCGTTTGTAACACCATGCTGGCTTCGTGTGAGCCACTGCTTGCCCTCGAAGGCCACAGCTCTGTGTCTGTAATCAGGAACAGTCAGGAGGCTCAACACAATGACCCAGACAGAACCTGGATACCCCAGGGTCACCCGGGCCTCTGCCTCCCCTGGGGACTGGCTGCGTCCACAAGCAGCTGAAGGGTGAAGGTGGCATTCACTATATCAAATTAATCACCTTCATTTATTCCAGGCTCACGGACGCAAACCTGCCAGAAATCCTATGATGGGGGACAGGGATGGAGGTGTGGAGAAAAGCTGCCCCATTCTGAAACTCTCTGTAGGATATAGTGGGGCGGGGCCGCCAACACCAACTGTACCTGCCTGGCGCACCACTGAAGTCCCACAGGGGCTTTCTAAGGCCTCCACAGAAGGGTCTCTCCTTGCCAGGGCATTCAGGTTCCCAGATGTGGCCACACCTGCTCCCAGCCTCAAGCACAGCACAGTGGCCTCCCCATCAAACAGAACCCCCTCTACCACCTTGTTGCCCCTGGCATCTTCCCACATACTGTCCCGGCTTCCAAGAATACTATTCTCCACCCTCAGCCCCACTTCAGGTCTCAGTCTCTAATCACTTCCCCCGGGGCCCTTTCTGTTCACCCAAGGCCCCAGGCTTCCCATTTCTACCCTCCTCACACTCCCAAAAGCTTGTTCCTCAAAGTAGTTCATCCAGCTTACCCCTGTGGTATTTCCAGGGCTTGCATGACGCCTGCCGCTGAGCAAGCGCTCCCTAGAGACTTGGGGATTTCACCTGAACTGCTACACACATAGCAGGTGTACGCGGTAGCCCAAGGTGACTTCAGAGTGCAGGTTCAAGTCCAGCTGCACTGTGGTACAGAGAACGGGACCTTCCCTGTCTATGCTGCAGGGCTTGGCTGGCTACCTGTGGGCCCTTCATACCCCGGCACTCAAAGAACAAGGCAGATGAATAGACGGACAGCTGCTTGGCCTCCTGAATCTGAACTAGGCTCTCAGAGTGAGGCTGGTTACCTCAGCCACAGTCTAGCACGTACTGTGGTTGTCTATGGGCCCTGTCCTGGGTCCTGCAGACAAAGGAAAGCAGCCCACAGCACCCCAGCAGGCCCTCCCCACCCTATTTCTCACTACCCAGACCCTTCGTTACCCATGATCCAGCCAAGCATCTGCAGGGAAGAAGAGCCAGCAGGGAGCAAAAGCCAAGGTCACACCTGGCAAGGGCTTCCAAGGCCAGTCTGGGAAACCCAAGCTGGAGGCAGGCCATCTTAGGGTCTGCCCTGGCCACCTCCAAAGAGGAAGACGGAGAGGAAAGGCTATACTGCTGCAGCTTGGGGCAAGAATCAACCAGGAAGGGCCTTGAAGAAACCGACGACGTGCGTTTGCCACGCTGTGGTCCAGCAAGAATGGCTGCTACCTTGCCTGGCAAGTGCAAGGGCCTGAGTTCAATCCCCAGTTCTATATAAAAAAAAAAAAGGATGGCTGCTGGCCTCCTGAGTTCCAGAGGTGCAAAACCTGGCAGCCTGGAAGGCACGGCTGCCCGTGGACATGATATCTGGCAGGCAAGATTTTCGATTTTTAAAAAATGAGTTCCAGGGGCCTTGCCGGTTAGCTCAGTTGTTTAAACTGCCGCTTGGACAAATGCAGTCAGGTGCAGGGGGACTGCGATTCGATCCCCAGCTCCACAAGCCTCACCACACCTGCCCTTATGGCAGCCTGAACTAGCCAAAGAAAAAGAAAAGAAAAATATCCTTCTCCAAAAATGAATTCCAGCATTTAAAACTTGGATCATTTTACATAAGAACCCTAATGTCCAGCTAGAAAACAAGCAGCATTAGGCTGGAAGTGGGAACAGACACTTGAAGAGGAAGGCCCCATGGGGAGCCTGACCAACAGTGGAGAAGCCAAGACTGGAGCGCTCATGGGCTCGTGAGCTGGAGGGGCAGCACAAGGGAAGCCCAGCTCCCACCGCCCCCCGCTGCCCCGCCCTCCAGAGGCAGGACAGACTGTCCTCTGCTGGCTCCAGTCCCCACCACTCCCTGCAGTCTCACTCTTTCAAAGCACTTTCTGGCCCCCAAGGCATCGAGCCGGTAGCCTTTTAGGAATACTACACGCAAGCCAAGCGTGGGTCTCATGAACCCACCTGACCAGAGGCCTCCTCCGCAATGCCTCCCAGCCCCGACAGCCGAGCTCCAGGGGCACAAACTGCAGCTGATGTGGGGAAGTCACAGGCTGCCTCCAATAAAGAGCACACATCTACCGGGAACGGTCAGAAACACTCTGCACTGGCTGCCTGCCAACGGTGGGGTGCTTGATGAAGATATACTGAATAATTGACAATCCATCTGATGAACACCGTGTTTTCCATCACTACGCATCTGCTCGTCTTTTTACTACGTCCCAAACTGCCAACATGTCAAACATCCTCATGATCTATTCATGAAAAAAAAATGTGTACACAATGTCAAACTCTTAATGGCTTTAATCATTATTTTACTTTAAATATTGACCTATTTTAACAGCTCCTTCTAAAAGTGGGCTCATTCACTCTGTTTAAAATTGCTAACATTTGATCGACACCAGACACGTGATTTAAAATTTTCTTCCAAATCTAATATAAATCAAGTTTCTTTAGGTGCTTTCAAAACCGATGAGGTAGGCAGTTACAACTGGACAAGGAGGAAGAAAAGATCAATAAAGCAAAGGCAAAGTCAAAGAAATACCTGCTTCTTATCCTGCATTTTCTTAAAGTCTTCACACGCTAGCCAAAACAGGACATTTTCTTCACTGAATTCCTTTTTTAAAAATTCCTACAGACACAAAGAAAAAATATATGGTAGTCTACTTTGTGGTAAAATAATACAAGGCATTTTCTTTTAAGAACAGATTTGACAAAATTCAGCAGATATGCCGGGTTCTATTACCCTTTGAAAACTCTACCCTGAAGAACAAAAGAAAGGGATGTTTAATGTGAAAACTAGAATTTCAGACACAATTGACCTTTATGCCACTGACATCGTAAGGAAGAGCAAAACGAAGCAGGAATCTACTCCCATTTCTAAGCAGACAATAAATTACCAAAAAGTAAATTAAAGTAGAAGATATATTAGTTCCTTCTAGACACTGTTTAAACAAAGTGCATTCCTCCAAAATCAGGCCTTTTTTTTTTTTTAAGCAAAAGAAAAGAAAACATATGAAGCATGTCTAAAAGGCCATTATGAAGACTAAAAGCATCATGAAGACTAAAAGGTGTGGTTCTTTCAGCAGCTGCCCAGGTGCTAGACTCTGCTGTGCAGAGGCCTCCCTGATATCTAGGCCATATTTCCTGTGGCCTGGTGCCCAGAACCAGGAGCCTGGCACAGCCTCCCTCCCTGGCAGTGACACAGGGAGTGGCGGCACCTGACCCGACCCTTAAAGATAGCAACTGCTGGGCTCTCCTGAGAATCAACATGTGGTCCTCCACCTGACACCTGGGGACCCTACAGGCCCCAAATGTTTTTCCTAGGCAGCACTGTCACTTTCCCACCCATCAGCCCTCCTGTTGAGAGTCCCTTTCCCAGCTTCATTCTACCAGCTACTGCTAGCCTTTCTCCCTGGCATCGAAGCACCTGCAGATTATCTGACACACGAGAGAACAGACCTTCATGCCAAAGACACTGAGAGCTAAAAATTCTGTGTTTGTGGGGGAGGGGGTGCGGTGGGTGGGTGTTACTGGAGAATGAATTCAGGGCCCTTCCACTGAGCTACACCCCCAACCCTCCAGCTTGGTTGTTTTGTGTTCTGTTTTGTTTGAGCCAGGGTCTTACCAAGTCAGTAAGTTGCCCAGGCTGGACTGGAACTTGCAATCCTCCTATCTCAGCCTTCCACAGTTCTGGGATTACAGACGTGCACTGCAGCAAGCCAAATTGGAAATTCTTCCTGTAGACTCCACCACCAGCCATGGTGTTCTTTCCCCTGGGCACCTCCAGCCCCTTTCAACTGCATGCAAACCAAGCATGGGTGGCACGCCCCTTGGTGTGAGTTCAGGCTCTCTGTGATCGTACTGCCAACGTGGCCTCAGCAGAGGAGTCCTTACTCTCAGGCTGGGATAGAATGTGCTAAAGATTGGCCTGCTTTCCCCTAACCCCATCTAAACTTCTGCGGGAACTGCATCCGTCCAGATTAACAACGAAAAAGACAAACCCTAAATTTCTTCACGCCTTCCGGATCTTCCAGCAGATTCTCCAGGGAGGCTGCCCACTTGGCTGTGCTCTTGAGGCTCTGGTGGCTGCTACTGGAACTACCATCACCGTCATGGATGTCTGCAAAACACAGTTCAAAGAGGTCACAGCCAGGATACTGTCATGTGCACACAGTGTGTGTGAAGACACACCGTTGACGGCACAGGATGGAGACCGCCCTCCCCTCGGGGCCGACACGTGCTGCATTACGCCAGGCTGTGTTACACAGTGTGCTCACCGTGACACGAGACTCCTGCTGTGCAGGCAGCAAAGCAGAGGCTCAGAGGCATGAGGGGCTTACACTTCCTCACACATCCTTCCCTGGCCTTGTCTGCTGTCCAACTGGAAGGCCACCTTTACGTCTCCCTCTGACGCTCCTTCCGAGGAACTCAAACGCAGCTCCTTCCCTCCCCCTTTTGCACTGTCTTGCAATTATTGCCCTGCACAGACACTCTCTGCACGGCCGACTCCCACTTACCCTGAAAACTCTCAAAGGTCAGCATTCTTTATAATCCCCAGCAGGCGCATAAAGAAAAATAGGGTGCAGAATCAATCAAGACTATGGCGAGGGTGCAAAGGCGAAGGGGTTGCCTATCTAGTCAGGCATGAAGAGAAAGACTTCCATGCAGTATATTTTTAAAATCAAACTAAAATTTAAAAATAGAAATATTTGAAAAGACAATTTTTTTTTTTTTTTTTGGGAGACAAGGCCTTCACATGGAGCATAGGTTGATCTCGAATTCACAATTCTCCTACCTCCACCCTCTCCATTACAGATATTCATCCCCACATCCAGCTAAAATATCAAACTTTAATATATGTGCTGCTGAAGCAAGGGCTAAAGTACCGAATTTTAAGCAAAGACAGGATCATTATTTCTGATTTTCCCTCTTGCCTGTCTCCCAATATGGCTAGGTGTCCCACTGTTATTTTTCCAGACTTAAAGCTTTTGCTATTGGGTTTGTCATGGATGCTTCTGAGTTATCTTCCATCTTTTAAATACTGCATTTAGGACCAGGGATATAGCTCAGTGGCGCAGCATGTGCCTGCAAGTATAAGGTCCTGAGTTTGATTGCCGGTACCAAAAGAAAAAAGAAAAATACTACTGCACTTCATATCATTTATCTTGAGGCCTGAGTCTGCAACCCTCTTACATTTTGGCACACTGGGCAATGGGTGATGGCTTTGTGCACACATCTTCCACCTACTGAGGAGAAACACTTACCCTTGTAATTGAAGAAGAGGAGACCAGGGATCTCTGGTGCTAATGCCCTAGCATGCACAAAGCCCAGAGTTCAATCGCCAGTACCGGGGCGGGGGGGGGGACAGGCCCCATGGCACCCCATAAGTACGCCCAATTATTACACAGCAGTTGGTTGGGGGCGGCAGTCAGGGAGGCAACACGTAAGAGACCTGGCAGCACCCCTGGATCACGGCAGACTCTCAACAAATGTTAGTTCCTGTTTCAACTTCCCTGAAATAATGACTAACCAGTGAACTGATTTTACAGCTAATGCTTTTTCTCCACTGACGTGTTTTTTCAAAGCCAGAGACAAGTTTCTGTAAAGTTTAAATCTAGGAGAGTATAAACTTTTAATTAAAAGATCACGGAAGTAAATAACTTTTAAAGGATTAATGAAAAATATCTCCTAAATGTTAATTGCTCCAAACAGCTAGGGGCCCATCTAGTAAAAAATGTTTTTGGAGAAAATTCCTACCAGAACACCAGACTTAATAATAACAGCTTCTATGATCTCTGGTGTCTTACTGGGATGCAAAACATAGCCATTAAACTCTTAATCCATAAAGACTCCACCTCCCCACATCTTAGGCTAAATAAAGCAAAACAAAGCTAGAAGCCCAAGGGAGAGTATGGTTCAATACCCACTGCTATTGGGGTAGGTGAGATAAGTCCATTATTTGGGACAAATCCATTCCTGTAATGGAGAAGCGAACTTACTCAACCACCAAATGGACTCGATGATTTTGTAAAGTGACTCTCCAGCTGGGGATATTCAATTAGTTCTAGCTCACTCCATCAAGGCTGGGATGGCAAGCTCCTGGATACAGGGTTTCTTCCCAAATATCAAATGGAAGGATCATCATTACAAGAAATTTCTGTAGCAGGGTTTATTCTGCCAAGCATCCCACTAACTTATTCTTCTGCCCTGTGCCCAGGGAAGTTTGACAGTTGACTCCACTTTCCCAGCGAATAAACACAGAGACACACAGTGTGCTGTTCCAGGAACAACCTCAGCCACTAGCGCTCTCCTCATTGCCTGGCAAGCACAAGGTCGTGAATTCAATCCTCAGTACAAACAAACAAACAAATAAAAGTACATGGTGGATTCCCACTTAGCCAAGAGAGTGCAATGACCGCAAAGGCTGCTGGGCCCTCTGGTTAACAGCTGCTGACCACCCGACCACCCCCTCCCCATTATGTCATACACTAATCATTTCTGCAAATTGGGTGCCTGTGTCAGTTTTCACTTGAACAAGTATTATAACTCAAAACACATATCTAGAAGTCTCATCTCCTTATTTACAGACTAGGAAACAGAAGTCTAGATCGGAAAATGACCCAGCCGAGGAATCGCTGGGTGGAATGAGCATCAGTCAGGGTACTGTCCCCACCTGGACCACTTCTATACATTTTTTTTTTTTTTTTTGGCGGAACCGGGGATTGAACTCAGGTCCTTGCCCTTGCCAGGCAAGTGTTTATTCCACTGAACTATCTCCCTGGCTCCTGGACCACTTCTATAGGACTCTGGGAGTCCAGGAAATGCAGGCGTCCTCCACAGTTCTCCCCCGGGATCCCATCTCCCTTACATCAAATGTAAGGAAATTACAGAAGAGCATGGAATCTCTAGGCATGACACAGAAAGCAACGTGAAGCTACTCTTAATAACATTTACTGCTTTTCCAGCTCCGGCACCCTGGCTAACGAGAAAGTCCTTGATTTTTTTCCCACCTTCAGCCTCTAGGATTCTTCTACCTCCTGTTATCCTCATGGGTTTTCACTTTCCCCAGAAACATTAGTTGGAATTTTCCCTAGACTCCCAGATTGATTTTCAGGTCCACTGGTTATGCCCTTCCTTGCCTTTTTATTCTTTAATCCCTCTTGATTGCTATCAGTACAGACAGGCAGATCCTAGTGGAGCAGCATTTGCAGTCACAATGCTCTTAATGCTTATTTACTTACTTTTTTATTTATTTTTGAAACAAGGTCTCACCAGCCCAGGCAAGCCTCAAGCTCACAGGAATCCTCCTGCCTTAATTGCATCTGTATTTAGCCTGGTCTTCATTACTATAATGAAATACCTATGGCAAGCTACTTTATAAAGAGGTTTGCTTTGGATAATTATCTTAATTACTTTTTTCATTCCCGAGACAAAATACTCAACACTTAAAGGAAGAAAGGTTTATTTAGCTCAAAGATTGTGAGGTTTCAGTAATCAGCTGGCTCCCAGGCAGGGTAGCGCAGCAGAGGAGAAGCAGTCCAGGGCAGGCAGAAGTTAGCAAAGCAGCAAGGGACGACCACAGCTCGTGCTGTCCCTTATGTCTTGTCCAGGCTACTGGGGCAGGTAGCACACACACCCTTGATCCTAGTGACCTCGACCCTAGCATTGTACTATGAATCAATTCCAGCGTCACACACTTGAGCTTCAGCCACCTCTGAAAAACCTCCAGTATAACAGCATGAAGCCTTGAGGGGACATCTAGACAGAAGCCAGAACACTCATGGTTCTGTTTTGGGGTTTTGTTGTTGTTGCTGTCTTTTTTGAGACAGGGTTTCACTATGTAGTTCAGGCTGGCCTTTTTTTTTTTTTTTTTTTGCGGAACTGGGGATTGAACTCAGGTCCTTGTGCTTGCCAGGGAAGCGCTTATTCTACTAAGCCATCTCCCCAGCCCCCAGGCTGGCTTTGAAGTCACTTTGTAGCCCAGGCTGGCCTTAAACTTGCAGTGCTCCTCCTACCTCAGCCTCCCAGGTGCTGTGATTCAAGCCTGTGCCAACATGCCCAGCCTATACCCATGGTTCTGGAGGCAAGAAGTGAAGCAAGGGCTGCATCTAGTTGACGGCTTTTTGCTTGGCAGAGTCCTGAGGTGGCCCAGGGCGTCACACCACACAAGACTGGGAGGACTTTATCTCTCTTCCACATAAAGTCACCAGAATTGGATCACGCAGGCTCTACCTGGATAATCTCACCTAAGCCTCAGCATCTCCTAAACACCACAGTCAAAAAGTTTCCATCCTCTTACTATCGCATAATGGGGATTCACTTTGGGCATGGAATTTGGGGGAGACACATACTTTCAAAGCAGATCTCAACCAAAGAAGCATCTCCTCTTCCAAACCATTCCCAGCACCAGCTTGACAGTGCTGTAGAAGTTACCTCGGACCCAGCCAATCTGTGACTCGGGGTACCTGCTCAGAAGACTGATATTAGGGCCAGGGAGATGCGCAAGGGCCAGAGTTCAATCCCTGGTTCTGCAGAAAAAAAAAAAAAAAAGAACACTTGGAACCAGGGAGATGGCTCAGTGAGAACAAGCACTTCCCTGGCAAGTGCAAGGGCCTGAGTTCAATCCCCAGTTCCCCCCCCCCCAAAAAAAAAGACTGATATTTTCTGATATATGCCAAGTAAGGGATTCCTAAACCATTTCAGCCCACTTTAAATGCTGCAATCGGCCCACAGAGGTATGGGTGAAACAAATAGCCCTTCTCAATAGCAAGCAGGTTTACCTCTGAACTTAATGAATTAAAAAAAAAACAAAACAAGATTTCACAGCTGCTGGGTTATAGTTCTTGGATCCAAAAGTCTTTTATCCTCCAATAGTCTTTTATCCTTCTTCATTGATAAAAATTTGCAGTGTAGATGAATTACATGAGAAAGGAAGTTTGGAATGTTCTTCTAGAAGCTTTAAGCTTACTCGTTCTTTTTTTTTTTTTTTTTTTTTTTTGCTTTTTATTTATTGGGTACAGGCTCTCACTCTGCAGATCAGACTCCCCAGCACTGGGATTACAGGCTGGCACCGCCACACCTGGTTTCGGTGGCTGGCACAGCATGCAACACTGGGGATCG